TATATATATATATATATATATATATATATATATATATATATATATATATATATATATATATATATGTATATATATATGTTATGTTTAATTAAAATTTCATATTATTATATTATTGGCCCATAGTAAGTGTCGAAGTCGACCCCTCGTCACTACAACTTCGAGGTTAGACTAGATACTTACTGGGTGCATGTTGTTTATGTACTCACGCTACACTTCTGCACTAAATGTGCAGGATCTGAGGTAGGTACATCTGGATATCAGTCTGGCGCACATCCCTGATTCACGAGACTTCGCGGTGAGCTGCCCTTCTGAGCCCGTTCTGGAGCAGGCGGAGTCTTTCTTTTGCTTGTATTTTCTATCTATTATACTTCAGACAATAGACTAGTGTTCTTTTGTACATTCTACTAGTTGCTCATACACTTGTGACACCAGATCTTGGCACACACTAGTAGACTTGTGGGCTTGGTTCGTTTTATTTATATTGAACATGTTATTCCTTAAATCTTTTAAATTTAGGAAAGTTTAATTACTTGGAAATCTACTAAAAAGAGAAATCACGTGGTTAGTTCACTATTGGCTTGCCTACCGACGGCGCTGGGCGCCATCGCGGCCTATAATAGAATTGGATCGTGAATACATGGTATCAGAGCACTAGATTCACGTATGTCTCACAAGTTATGAGCAGGCCTAATAGAATCTTGTGGATCGGTACGGGGACGTTCGTACTTATCTTCGAGAGGCCATATGGTGTTAGGAAACTACTCTTTCTTCATCTCCTATCGTGCAGTTGATGTTATACTGAGTGTCTTTCTCTTAATCTCTCACATCTAGTGAGAATATGCACAGCGAATGTTCCAGACCTGGGAGGAGCTACTCCCCTGTTGCTAGAGGCAAAGGCCGAGGGAGGGCACCAGCATGAGGTAGGGGACAAGGACGTCCCGGAATTGTCCCAGCTGTACCACCAGCGGATCCAGTAAAGGATCCCGTTATCGAGCAGCAGGGCAAGGCGCTTGCAGCAGAGCCAGCCCCAGTAGACTGCATGTGAGCATCGGTCTTCCAGGAGGTTATGGTCTGTATGCTACGGTTCATGGATTCTATTACCCAGGCTGGGTTATTTCCAGCAGACCCAGCCACTTCTTAGGTGGGGCGGAGAGCAGACACCCTTACTACTCAGGCTCTTGTGCATGCAACTGCCGTATATCAGACCCCGGGTACACTACCCGTGGGTGGGGCCCAACCAGTTGCAGTAGATGTACCTGAGCCTAGACCAGCTGCGACTGGCGAGCCGCAGAAGCTATTGGATAGATGGACCAGGCTTCACCATCCTGTCTTTGGAGGGTGAAAGACATGAGGATCCCGAGGACTTCATTGATAGGTGCAGGGACTGACTGTACAACATGACTATATTAGAGTCCCATGGAGTGGATTTCACTACTTTCTAGCTGGAGGGCAGGGCCCGTAGGTGGTGGCAGTCACATCTCCTCGGTAGACCAGCAGGTTCTCCTCCCATGACTTGGGATCAGTTTACACGCCTTTTCTTGGATAAGTATATTCTACCCTCCTAGAGGGAAGAGTTGCGGTGTTAGTTTGAGCAGCTCCAGCAAGGTTAGATGTCAGTGACCGACTATGAGGCGAGATTCTCTGAGTTGTCTGGCCATGCGCTTATGATACTTCCTATTGACGCGAAGATAGTGCGGAGGTTTGTTGCGTGGTTGCACTCAGGTATTCAGGCCACTATGGCTCGAAAGGTTGAGATGGGGACTTCTTATCAGCTAGTAGTGGAGATAGCCCGGAGGATTGATGGTTACCATCAGCGAGGTAGAGAGAAGATGCAGTGGGACAAGCGGTTCCATTTTTCTAGAGATTTTAGAGGTGCCCCGGCTGGGGGCAGAGGTCAATTTAGGAGGGGTCAGCCTAGCAGGCCTACATATCCAGCACTACCACCTCCTTGGGGTGCTCCAGCGCGACCCTATTTCAGTGCCATGCTAGAGTGTTCTTACCGCCTGCTGGCTATTCAGGGTTCTTCCGTTGGGTACTCAGGCTATTAGGGTTCTTTTAGCGCATACTTCAGCGCCATGCCAGAGAGTTCATACCACCCACTAGCTATTCAGGGTTCTTCTAGTGGGTATTCAGGCTATCAGGGTCAGATTTCAAGGTAGCATTCTATGGTATCGGTGGTTTCTTACGAGTGTGGGGATTCGGGTCACA